CAGCCAGACTACCCCCACCCCCAGGGGTCTCAGCTTAGCTCTTCTGGGTGTTGTGACTTTCCACCTGTGAGAGGGACCGTGAAGGTAGAGGGCCCCATCTCCTCCCCGCCTGGGCCTTCTCTCGCCATTTCTTGTTGTTCTCAAATCTTTGTCTGCTCCTTCTTATCCCCAGCAGGCTGGGGGAGAGGCTCGTTAGCACGTATTTCTATGGTGCCTCTTCCCAGAGGGGCCCCTGGCTTGAGTGCTTTTGGAAATGTGACATTTCCACAGAGGCCCCGGGATTACTCAGCATTCACACGTTGTTTCACACTCCATGGGCATGTGTCTTGCCTTCCCCAAATTTAACCTGTCTGGGCTTCGACTTCCTCATCTGGGCCGGAGCAGGATGATGCCTCGCATCTCTTTCTCTGACATCCGGGGAGCCACGATTCTACAGGCAGCCTCTGGCTGTCAGCTAAGCCCCAGGTCTCTGAGATGGAGCACACCCGTGGTTAAGGAAGCAGCAACTGACCAGAGGAAGCTTCTTGAGGATTCCTGCTTGAGCCGGACTTGTGTGTGGCATAGAGCACATTGGGCCTCCAGCCCTCTCTCTGCCGCCCCTAACCGTGGGCTCTCTGAGCCTCAGTTTTCTCACCCGTGAATGGGGATGTTGGTACTTACCCCATAAAACCAAAGGAGAGAGCACAAACCACAGCTCCTGGAAGGCCGGACCCCACACGACGTGGGGGCAGCGGATACTGTCTTCGCCCCCTGCTGGAAGGCCCAGGCCCAGTGCAGGAAAACGGACATGTGGTTAGGATTTACTTGATGTCACTTTGGTGGCAAGTTAGGGAACAGCTGATCTGTTTCAAATACTGGGCAGGAGGGCGCCTGGGTGGCTCAGTTGGTTGGGCGACTGCCTTCGGCTCAGGTCATGATCCTGGAGTCCCGGGATCGAGTCCCGCATCGGGCTCCCTGCTCGGCGGGGAGTCTGCTTCTCCCTCTGACCCTCCCCCCTCTCATGTGCTCTCTCTCTCATTCTCTCTGTCTCAAATAAATAAATAAAATCTTTAAAAAAAAAAAATAGTGGGCAGGAGGGACCGGGGGACCTGGTCCTGCTCCTGAGGAGATGCTCACACCCAGGAACGGGACAGACCCAGAAACGCGCCCAGCCCGGGAAGGTCAGTGCTGTGCTCTCTCTGCTCGCTTCCCTCTGCCCACCTGAGAGGCTTTGACAGTCCCTGAAGGCAGCGAGCAGGCTGTACAAGTGGGCAGAACAAGTGGGGCAGAGGGACCTGAAGGAGAGGCTGGAGCCGCACCTGCAGGGCGCGTGCTCACCCTGCACACGTGCTCACTCACATGCATGCTGATTACACACACTCATCATACACGCTCACACTCAGCACATTTGCTCACACGGTACACACCCTCACGCACATCACACTGATCATACACACTGATCACACATGCTCACTCACAATGATCACACACTGCACACCAATTGCACAAACATTCCCATGCACACTGATCACACACGCTCACTCACAACTCACTGATCACACACAAAACACATACTCCTACACACAACACTCACAAACACACACATCCTCACACTCTCCTCTTTATCCTCACACGCTCACACACATACACACACACACACACACACGGTGGCCCAATCAGTGTCCCAGAAGCAGGGGCACCAAGAGACACAGAAAGGGACAGAGAGGACAGCAAGGACAGAGAGAGACAGAGAACTGGAGGACAGGCCAATGCTGTCAGAGAGGAAAATGGTGGTGGAATCAGGAGAGGCTCCCAGATGCAACCAGCGAGGGATCCTGGGAGATGGCAGCCCAGCCCAGCACGGGCCATGCTGGGACAGAAGCGGCCAGAGCGCCGTGGGGATCCGGCCATGAGGCGGACCCGAGCTGCCTCACACTGACTTGTTCTGAGATTTGCCAACCACTTTGATTCCCATTAAGTTCCTCCTTCCTCCCAGTGACCCCACCTGGAGGTTAGTGCTGGGTCATCGCACCCCCAGGACCCATGTTTGGGGAGGGTGAGTAACTGAGGTCCCATGGCCGAGTTCTCGGGCTGCGGAGGGCCAGCTTCCTCCTGGACCACGTGGCTCTCCCCCCCAGGTGACAGGGTCCAAACCTCCAAGCCGCAGGAGTGGGTGCAGGGTCTGGGCCCTGTCCTCTTGGCCCACCGCTCTACTCCGTCACTCAGCGGAGACATCTAGGCCCTCTACACTGTCTTGTTTCCCGCCTCGGCCCCCATCACTCGACCCCCCTGAAGCGTGCACACACCTGCAAGTACTCCAGAGTGAACATACCAACTGGCAACCCTTCACCATGGGGTAGGGAAGCAGGTGGATCAACACTCCCCTCTCCGAGCCCTCTGGTGGACAGTTCTGAGGTGCTCTGTGCACGAAGGAATTGAGCCCTACTACCCACGGTGACCCCTCATCACACACCCTTGTATTTACTGGGTTTCCCGCCTTCTTTCCCTGGGAATCACTTGTCCAATTAAACCCGCTGCATGCAGGCCCCGGTCTCAGGCTCTGCCTTTAGCTGAGGCCCCAAACAGGGCTCTCCTGGGGCCCAGCATCAGGGGAGCTAATGATCTTCTCTCCTCCCACTTCTCTTTCCCCAGGACACCAGGGCTCTGCTCTGATCTATTGTTTGCTAGATTCAGGAGCCACCACATCTCCCCAGGGGGCCAAACCACTCTTGTTTATGCAACAACAATTAGTGCTCAGCAATCATCTCTAGTCTCAAGCCATGCAAACAAAAGGTGTCTTCAGCAAAGAGGTATCTTAACCCCCATCCCGGGTTAGGGGTCAGGACGCCCACCAAGCTTCTATCCAAGCCCAAGATTCTGTCTTCACTTTAGGACACACGTCCTAGGCAAGTCACCCACACAACCATTCATAGACTTAGGTTGCGTGGGTGCATGCATACGCGTGTAACGTGTGTGTTTTAAGATAGACTTACTGTATCTTTGGATTACGAAAGCAAATGCTTGCCAGTTCTCCGGATTACAGCAATGCAAAATGTATAGCTTGGAAACTGAAGGCACCTCCTACCCTATTCTTGACTGGGGTTATTTTTAATTTCCTTGGACCAGGACATTTTCAGCATCAATAACTGAGGTCTATTGGCTCCCTCATTGGCAGGAGGTGCCCTTATAAAGTGTCATTTCTTCTTAGGCAAATCATTCATTCAATGACTGTTTGGCTCCAGGTGCTGGAGAAGCTGCCAAGAGCCAGCTAGACAAGGAAGGTTCTCCGGCCTGACTGCCTGTCTCCCAATAGTCGTGTTTTCCCTGATCTTTGTAGGCAGGACCTTGAGCAGCTTACTTGCTCTGGAATATTCACTCAGTTGCCTCTGGCTCTTAGGGAGGCCTGTGGAGCTTCCCACAACCACAGGGAAGGGCTGTACCCATTACCCAGAATGCAGAGCAGGGGGCTCTCCTATTGCTGAGCCTTTGTCAGGAGGCTCCAGGCCTCTGAAGGTGCCCCTTTCAGGGCCAGCCCCAAAAGGCCCAGTTTCAGGTCGCCTCTGACTGCCACCTGCGCAGAACCCAAGGTCTGTCTTGTCGGTGGATCTGGTGCTCCGGCAGAGCCGGCAGGCATCCTGGGGGCAGGGGCTGAGGGGCTCCTCTGGCCTTCCCTGATGCCTGGCTCAGCTGCTGAAGAGATGCCCACAACAAAGAGAGGAGGATTGTGGAAGGTTAGGGAGTTGGACAGTGTAGGCCAGCGATTAGGGCAGGAGGTTTTTTTGGAGACGGGGATTTTTTACCGGAGAGATCTGTGTGGAACACCTCCCTAGGTGGGTGTGGAACAGAAGCTGGGGCTTAGCGGCAAAAGCCCAGCAAGGAACACACACGGCCCAGGAGCTGGGCATGGTCTTGCCAAGTAGGAAGCCACACAGGAGAACTCCAAGCGTAGTCACATGTACCAGGAAAGGGGGAGGGTGCAATGTGGGTGTCCTTTGTGCCACAGCAGACCCAAACAGTATTTTTTTATTATTTAAATTCAATTCAGTTAACATATACTGTATTATTAGTTTCAAGGGTAGAATTTAGTGATTTATCAGTTGCATACAACACCCAGTGCTCATTACATCAAATGCCCTCCTAATGCCCATCATCCAGTTACCCCGTCCCCCAACCCAGTCCCAAACAGTATTTATCTGCTCTTCCCCTTTTATTAACACATGTCCCTCTGTTAAACATAAAAATCATGCCTCCTTTAACAGCACGTAACAATTCAAAATAAAAAATGTTGGGACTCCAAACAAATGAAAACAATGGGAAAAGGTGCTGTTTTATTGGAATTATGCTCCTCCTAAGTCTGATGTGATGCCCCCCAACCTTGGTAATCAAAGCCCTGACAAGTTTGGACTGAGGTTGGCAGCGTTTCAGAATTAGTATGAGGGACGGACAGAAACAGGTATAATAGGGTCAATTCCCTGATGAATCTATTTCTGAGGGATGGGAGTTGACTGAGGCTCTGGAAAGGGCATTCATGGATGACTCTCAGGAGCTCGAGGAGTCATCTCCATCCAGGACCTGGATGGCTGAGTTTCTCTCCTTTCTGACCGGTTTCTTCTGCCCTCCTTAAGGGAGCCCATTCCTTACTGCTGCTGGCTCCTCAGCACCCTGCCCCCCCACCACTACACACACCTGCGTTGTTCCCCTTTCCCTTTATCTAAATTCTTAAAGCCTGTGGTTGATCTTGGCAAGGTGTTCCGTCAAAGCCAAGGAAAGGAATTTATACTACGGTGTAAGAGACTAATAGGCTTAACCATTCACAGGAGCATCTGAGTTTTTAAGGAGAGTTTGTAAATTCAAACCCATCTCAAACAGGTGGAATGTGCACGGGAGATCTCTTGCAATTCCACGTGCCAGGTGCCTACCGGGCCACTCCCACCCTCGTCCTTCTCGAACAGAGCTCAGCTGCGGGTCGCTCTGCGGAAGGCTCGGGCTGCCAGGGTGGGCGGGGACACTTAGGCCCGGCGCGTCCGGCGGGGCAGGCGTCCCCAAACCTCAGCCCCGGCCTCTCCTCTCCGGGCCCAGAAGGAAGCCGCAGCGAAGGAGGCGGCGGCGGGGGTGCCGCGAGCGCGCCTCACCTGCGGGAGGCGGGAGGCGGGAGGCGGGAGGCGGGAGGCGGGAGGGCCCGTCCCGGGCTCTCCTCCTCCGACAGCCGGCCTGCCGCGGGGCAGGCGTCCGCTCGCCCATCCTTCCTGCCCGCCGCCCGCCCCGGCGCCTCCACGCAGCCGCCGCCGCCAGCTCGCCGCCCGGTGCCGGAGCGCGGGGCCACCGGGGCCCCTCCGACTCTCGCCCCCGCGCTCCTCCGCGCCCTTCTCCTCCTTCCCCGCGCCGGCGGCGGGGCTGGAGCGGGGCGCCCCCCACCCCCAACTCCGGGACGCGCTCGTCGAGAGGGCGGCGACTGCGGGGAGGAGGGGCGCCGCCCGCCTCCCGGGGCCTGGAGCGCGCGTGGCCCGGGAGCCGCCGGCGCCGCGCGGGGACTCACAGTGCAGCGCGCTGCGCCCGGACTCGGCTGGCTCCGCTCGGCGCGCGGGCGGCCCACGGGATGCTGGCGGGCTGCCCCGGCCTCGGCCCGCGCTCCCGCCCGGGAGGGCCCCGGGTGCGCCCCTAGCCGCGCCGCCGCCGCCGCCGCCGCCAGCGCGGGGGCGAGAGGGAGGGGTCCGGCCGCGCCGCGAGCCGCAGCCCCAGGGGCGGGCGCCCCCCGATTTTCCAGCCCCCGCCGCCTCCTTCCTCCTGCGGCTGGGCGCCCGCGGATGCTGAGGGGCAGCCCCGCGCCTCTCCCTGCCGGGTTCCGGGCCTGACGGCGGGGGCCTCGCGCTCCGGCCGGGGACCGGGGATCGGGGACCGGAGACCGGGGCCGCTGGCGGGGCGACCCCCGGGCGCGCTGAGCCCTCCTGCCCCCCGCCCGCCACACGCGTGACCCAGCCCCGCAGCCCGCGCAGGGACCGGCCGGACCACGCGGCTCCCGAGTTCCCGCACAGGTAAACGCTGGGGCAGGCCAGCCTTCCGGAGGGCAGGTAGTGCCCCGAGGTGGAGAGCCCGAGCCGCCAAGGGTTGGGTGGGGAGAGGAAGTAAACAGAAGGAAGATTCAGGAATCCCCGGGATGGTTCTGGCTGCTCTCGGGCACGCTTTATCTCCAGCTTCTAAGGCTCGGGCCTGGCGGCGTTTTAGGTGAGGAAGTCAGGGACTGAGGGACGGACCGGAGTGCGAGGGATGGAGAGGTGGCCAGGCCTTTCGGCCAGCGGGGACAGGAAACCGGCGAGGACAGGACCGGGGGGGGGGCGAGGGGGGTCGGGCGGTGGCGTGAGCGTGGGGGTGGCTGGAGAAGGCTCTGGTGCTGGAGCCTCGTGGCGCAACGATCCTCTCCGGAGGGGTGGGGTGGGTGCCGAGAAACCTGCGACAGGCAGGAAGCACGGGAGGTGTTTCTACTCAGCGGGGTCCTTCTAAGTTCCAGATGAGCCGCGCTACCTGTGCCCTGGAGATCTGCGCTGCGTCGCTGCGGGAGGTGGCCGGCCCTCGGTTGTCGCCAGCTCTCCCAGAGCCCTGGTAGGTGGCCCATTGCAGAGCCCTCCCCCCGTTCCCCGTCCACTTCTCCTGGGCCGGTAGAAGCAGACAGCAGCCGGGATGCCGAGGAACCAGGGCTTCTCCGAGCCCGAGTACTCGGCCGAGTACTCCGCCGAGTACTCGGTCAGCCTGCCCTCGGACCCTGACCGCGGCGGGGGCCGGACCCATGAAATCTCGGTCCGGAACTCGGGGTCCTGCCTCTGCCTGCCGCGGTTCATGCGGCTGACCTTCGTGCCCGAGTCCTTGGAGAACTTGTACCAGACCTACTTCAAACGGCAGCGCCATGAGACCCTGCTGGTGCTGGTGGTGTTCGCGGCCCTCTTCGACTGCTACGTGCTGGTCATGTGCGCCCTGGTCTTCTCCAGCGACAAGCTGGCTCCCCTCCTCGTGGCCGCGGTGGGGCTGCTGTTGGACATCGTCCTCTTCGTGCTCTGCAGAGAGGGGCTGCTGCCCGACCGGGTCACCCGGAAAGTGGTGCCCTACCTCCTGTGGCTGCTGATAACGGCCCAGATTTTCTCCTACCTGGGCCTGAACTTCGCGCGAGCCCACGCGGCCAGCGACACGGTGGGCTGGCAGGCCTTCTTCGTCTTCTCCTCCTTCATCACGCTGCCGCTCAGCCTCAGCGCCATCGTGGTCATCTCTGTGGTCTCCTGCGTCGTGCACACGCTCGTCTTGGGGGTCACCGTGGCCCAGCAGCAGCAGGACGGGCTGAGGGGCATGCACTTGCTGAGGGAGGTGAGTCCCACCTGGGGTCGCACCCAGGGGCTTCCCTTCCTGCTCTCTTCTGCTATGGCACCAGTTTCCGGGGGTGGGGTGACACTGTTTTCTTTGCCCTTGAGTCCACATGTGTTGGGGTGGTGGGGGTGCCTCTGGGAATCTCAGCTGCTTGTGCAGGAAGACCGTTTCTCCCTCAACCCCCTGGCTTTGCACTAGAGCTTTCTGTGCTGGGCCTGAGGGAGTGGAGGATGTCAGGACATCGGGCCTCAGGGCCACCGTGTCACCTGTGTCCAGCCCACGTGGGCGGCAGGAAGGCCCACGAGGCCTGGTCGCGGGGCGGCCATTGTCCCAGCCGGTCCCTGCCCTTGATCTCTTCCGGAAAGACCTCTTGTGGGGAAAGGAGCTCCCTTGGCTTGCGGTCTCCAGCCTGTCATTGGCTAGCTTCAGCAGTTGTCTGACTTGTGTGGGCACAGTGCCCCTCTGTCAAGTGGGGACTGTCTGTCTGTCTGCCTAAGTGGTGGTTGCCAAGGTCAGAGGGAATGTGGGTGAAGACGCACTAGGAGACACGAAGGTGCGATGGCCCTAGATCCTGCTTGAGCTCAGGGGGTGTGGAGCACTTAGATGATGTGAGGTGTGCTGTGGGGACCCAAACGAGGACAGTCGTGCTCACCACAGCGGGGGAGGGTCGACTGGTCCTTTGAGGATGTGTTTTGCTGGAAGGGATGGAATTTGGGCCTCAGCTTAATTAAGAGCCTTGTGCCCCCACCAGGAGCCAAGCCTCTGTAGGTGCTGAGGGGCTACAGAGACTGGGAGATGTGATTCTCAGCAGCCACGTTCATCCAGTAACCCATCTGGAGGCGTTTGTCGGGCTTCAGAAATTCCAGCCTTGTGGCCTGTCTGCTGCCTCCTTTAGTCGTGAGCCCAGAGATGACAAGTGACCTGCCCAAGGCCACATAGGCAGGTACGGTAGTCACATGCCTGGAGTGTCCATTTCTCAATTCCAGTGTTAGCGACCGTCCTACTTTATCACGACGCTGGCTGCATCTCGGCCAAAGCCATCATCCTTGTCTTTTGGGCTTGAGGGCTGAGTCTCTAGGGGCCCCGTGGTGCTGTAGGGAGTTGATGCAAGAACCCTGTGGGGCTCGTCCCATTGCCTCCCAGTCGGTTAGAGGAAAACACAGGTTTTCTATTTTAACTTTTTCCTGGTTCGTGGACCAAAATTCTTCCTGTTCTTCCATTCTGGCTCATGCACTGTCCTCACTCAGGAAGCTTTGTGCTTTTGTTCTGCAGGAGTCCAGCCCTGGGCTGGTGCATGTGGACCATGTGGGTACACCGACGGTTGTTCCTTTGTTTTTCTCCCAGCGCCGTGTTCACATAAAGTGACGATCTGCCATTGCCGTCTTGACTTCTGGGTTGGTGGACTTTCGCTTATGCTTCTGCCAGTGAGGGGCCCTGCTGGGAGCGGTCTGGGGAGGAACGGCAGGAGCCATTCTGCTTGGAACCAGTAGGAAGCGCAGCCTGGGGCAGACAGGCGGCTGGACATGGCAGCATTTGGGGTCTGTGATCCGACCCTGAACCATTCCTTTCTACTGAACAGTCACTGCTGGCATTTTCCTCTCTGCTGGGGGGCCCCTGGACCACATGAGTCTCCCGTATGCTTCACTGCCCACTAAGGGAGCGAAACAAAAATTCTCTCCTTTGGAGCCTTGGATGCTTAACTCATGATTGCTGGTGTCCTGTGGGTACTATTAAGAGGAGACAAAAACCCGAAAAGATTAGGAAACAGGAAAAGAAATAAGTAAATAGAAGATAACCATGTTAGCATCCCAGGAGAGCATGGCCTTGACGTGGAGGCAGGGCCCTCGATGTGGTTTTGGGAATGGAGGGGAAGGGGGAGGTGGCTCTCGAGGTCCGTTTGGGAGCCTGGGATAGAATGCAGGAGGCCCCGGCTTTCAGTGGGCTGTGTTCCAGAAGTTTGAGTCACTTGTTTGGAACTACTGTGACTTTTTAAAAGGTGCCTGGGTTCCCAGGCCCACTCGGCAAAGTTTTCCTTAAGTCACAGAGTCCCTGCCTTCAGTATTTCTGGCTGTGGTGGAAATTCAGCCCAGGTGTGCATGTGGTGTTGCAAGGACACTGCATCCAGGTCTCCTCCGGCTGTGGAATGAAGCCACACTCACCTGCCCACTGCTTCTCTGGGCCCGTGTTACCTCCTGGGAGGGGGGCACCATCAAGGGTAGGGTGGGCCAGGGATGTGAGGCTGGGGTAGTCGGATGCCCAGCTAGGGTGACACCAGGCACGTACTCCAGACCCCAGCACCCCCTTGCTTTTCTTTCTCTTGCCTGCAGCCTCCCCTTTTCTTTTTCTTGGCTGGAACCAACAGGTAATGGGCAAAGGATTCCCTCCTGGGCCTGTGGGGGGTGAACTAGGTTTCATGGTTAGAAGCAGACACTGGATTTGGGGCTTTGGGAGTGCTTCTGTTGCTGCTGCCTTCTCTGCACCCTTCATTCTCTCAAACCCATGCTCTGTTCTAATGGGGGGTGAGGATTGACAGAGGGATGGTGGGGGGACCCTCAGGGTAGCCTGACTGTCCGCAGCAAGCCATCCAGCCTGCCCCTGGCTCTTCTCATGGGAGGCAGGCAGGTTGGGGTTCTGACAGGAAGAGCAGGTGGAGTCTGGCTGTCAGGTGGTGTGTGGGATTGGGGTGTTGCTGGGGCTTTATTAGTGAATGAGTGAATATGACTGAGCAATAGGTATGGGCCTTTCACCTGCAGGGTCTGGGAATGACAGGAATCAGACCATCGCAGCCAGAGACTGGGGTGTAGGGGAGCCGGGCCCAGGAGGAGCAAGATGCTGCTGGCAGGGTTTCCCCACGTCCCTCCCCTGGCCTGGGTCCTGGCACCTGGCACCGCTGGGCCTCTTATGGCACAGCTTGCCTTCTACTGCCACCAACTGTCCTTAGGGTGATGTGATGGAGCAGGAGGGGGTCAAGGGCAGGACCAGGCAGCAGCTCATGGGTGAAGATGGGTGGAGGGGCAGAAAACGCAGCCAAGGTGATGGGGAGTGTTCCTGAGGCCAGTGGGCCATTCCTGAGACCCTTGATGCTCCCACAATCTATTAGCATCTGATGGGGTTGTTAAAGCAAAGAGTCTGTGACAAGTTAGGGGCAAGGAACAACATTTGCAAAATACCTTATTGCTTTATTTCATAGCAGAAAGGCTATTTGGAAGCAAAATTTCCTCTTGGAATTAATAGCCTGTTAAGACCTTTACTTACAAATTAGAACATGTTAAAGCTGTGGATGTGTAATTCCCCTCACATGGACCAGTGACCTAGACCGTTCACCCCGTGAATGAACATTTGGCTTCGAGGGGCTGGAGGCAGCCACAGTAAGGGCATCGTGGGAGGGGCTGATGCTTCCAGATGCCTTCATCAGCATGCTGGAGTTTAGGGTTCTATATACATCATCCCATTTGATCCTGGATTGTTACTGGCTCCATTTGACCAATGAGGAAACCAAGGCTCGGGGAGGTTGAGGGTTGATGGAGGGGCTAGATAACTGGGGAGGGTCACTGGTGGGTGAGAAGGTGGGTGCAGGGGGACGGGATGGGACGTATCCCGAGGCTTCCCTGAAAGCCCCTTTCTGTGGAATGTGGGCCTCTGGGCCTCTGTCCTGCTTCTCTGGCTGCCCCTAAATGTCTCTGCTCAGTGGTGGTGAACAAAGGTGCCAAGAAGTGCGGGGCCCAGAAATATCACAGGAGGCACCCCTCTTTCTTCCCCTGGGATTTGGCCACAAGGAGGGAGAAGCCCATGATGGAGTTTTCCTGTTGGGACCGTGGCAGGAGTATGTGAGAGATGAAATGTGATGAATTGGAACAGGAGCTGGGTGGAGTGGGGGCAGGAAGACAGCAGGCTGGGCTGGGGGCGGGGGGCGGTTCTGAGCAACCAGAGGCATCGAGGTAAGAGAGGGGTGCAGGAAGTGGGGCAGCAAAGCCAACCCTGGATCGGCCCTCTGCCGCCATCCCAGAGCAGGACAGAAACGGTCATATCGCCCCCCTCCGCCCCCCAAAGCGCAGAGTGTGCAGGTGGGCAGGTTTTAGGAATCTGAATAATAAGGAAAGGCCTAGAAGGGGAGGGGAGGCATCAAATCTAACTGTGGAAGAACAGTCAATTATCGAACATGTAAACACCTTTGCAGCAAGTCACCCCCTCAATCCCGTCCCGGGTCACGTTTCTCTGTGGCCTTTTTGGATCCTTCTCTATGTGGAAACAGCTTTTCCAGTATGTCCTTGTCCTGCATGTGGGGCGGGGGCTGGCCGGCCCTGCCTCTCACCACATTGCCTCACTGAGGTTTTGCCATGAGTATCCAATCCCTTGTGTTTATTTTAAATCCGCACTTTATCATTAGTAGGCTTTCCTGGAGAGGAAACCAGAGCCCGGGGCTGGGCCACTGGTGGGTAACTGGGTAGCAGCAGGGCCGATCAGACACCAGTGTCCATGCTGGGGTCTCCCCTTGCCCCCCTGCCAGGTCCGCCTTGTGAGTGGGTACACCTTGTATGTCCCCCCACCACCACTCCCACCTCCCCTCCCCTGTCCCCTCTTGATATGCACTCTCGATGGTAGGCTTCCCCGGGTATGATCCTGACCAACGCTCAGATGTGTGTGCTCAGGGGTCACACCCGCCTTCAGGGCCAGGCCCACTGAACATGGAGTGTACACGGGGTGCCCTCATTTACTGAGCTCTTGCTGGGTTTCAGTCAAGGAGCTCCCAGCAAGAGGTAGATATTGTTTTCATTTTACAGATGGGGAAACTAAAATGCATGATGAGTGACATGACTTGTCCAAGGCCACGTAGCTAGCAGGTGGCAGAGTAGGATTCAAACTCAGGTCAGTGGGATTCCAGAGTTCCTTTTCTTCTGCCATCATAAAAGAACCCCTTAGTTATCTTTCCTCAGAACCTATTGAGATAAAGTTCCAGTAGGGATAGGATCCTTGGTTTCTTAACTCAATCCTTTGAAGGA